GTTAAATAAGATAGATAACTATCTAAATGACACATAATGTCATACCTTTTCATGGGGAAACCCCTCTTGATTGAAGACAATATATGTTCCAAATGGGACTGGGATGAATATGAAGACAACAGGTAGATGCAGCCACAAACAATTCCCATTGCTTCAGGACTGCAAAGAGACACATCAGTGTTCTAAAATTGGATAATGGTTGGGTGTGCCGATGAAGAAAAAATCCTAGGATGAGAAAAAGAAAGTAAATAGCTGAAGTATTTTTGCAAAATGGTGCAATGCCAATTTTTATGCCAACTGATAAACCAGGATTTCATGTCAGGATCTTGACAGGGTGTGGAGCAAAAGGATGTGGGTGCATCAACTGTCAAGTGACATGTGAACTGACTGTTGGGAATACATGAAACGCTTTTCAGAGATAAAGTGAAGTCGGTCATTCATATTTTAGAAATGAAAGTATTTTCCCCATTAGGTGTGATTTGCCACCAAAAAGTCTGAAAAATGGAACACTGAGACACATTTTTATCAACAAATAGCATATAACAAGCAGCAATGACCAATGATCATCAGAATTTGTAGGAACAGTCTGAGCAGCTAATATCATGTCTTGTTAACTCCCTGAGGTGTATGCTACTGAATGAATGATTATTGTTTAAGTGCATCAAAACAATGCATCATTTATCTATTGATGATGGGGAGAAGGATGGTTGGGTGGGACTTCTTAAAATAAGTTCAATAATTCCTGTAGCAAAAAGCATAAAAAATGTAGACACAGCAATTTTTCATCAGCATAGCACAATGCACATTCAATAATAATGTAAGCGAACCTTATTCACACAAGAATTGGTTAGGTACCTACTAAATAACATCCTCAAATAATTAACTGCCTAAAATACATTTCAGTTTCAAGCAAACTGAATCAAAATGCAGATTTAGAAATGCTTAACACACCAGTCCACAATACAACACTTACATTTTCTTAGACTCCTTCTTGCTCATGTCTATCCCACAGAGATTTGCTTTGATAAAAAGATGACCCATCTTCGGCACAGCTCGAATGGTCGCAATGAATCCACAAAACGAAAGCATCAAGTTTATCAGAAGTTGAATCGTCCAATCCATCTTGAGTTTATGCTGGAGCAGTCTGAAACAATCATAAAAAGATGTTTCAGGTAAGTAGGTAATTCAAAAGAAACACCAACCTCAACCTAAGCGTTCTGTGACAAGTTCAGCAGCATTGAGTTCAAGTCAAAGTTTGCTTTCAAAGGTCTTCAAGGTCAAGGATTCAGACAAAAGGAAAAGTATCATTTAATTGCAAAGGATAAATTTATGATGGTTCAAAAATAAAATCAAAATGTTTCACCATCAATTCGCCAACACGAAAAAAATTTGAATTGGAATTGAAATGACTAGACTTGAACTGGGACCAGTTTGAGTTACACTACATGGTTTAAATTTTTGGGTTTACAACAGTCTCCTGGGAATTAAATGGAGCGGTTTCAAATAAGACTATCCGAAATTAAGTTTTCTACAACTTCTTACAACTTCAGCGACAAATCATAGGTAATTAATAAAACTTACATATAAATTCGCACACGCACGACGTGAATATTCGAAATCGTAAAAGCTGCGCAGTGTTTGCATTCATATAATGCTACCAAATATGGTACCAAATTCTATAGATAATAAAGCTTTTATGTATACGTGCATCAAAAGTTGCATTTTTATTTATTGTGATACTAGTAACAATAGGACTTACTCGGTGTGCCACATAAGTGAGAAGTGACCTTAATTTTCGTCTGGTCGTTTTCTAAATGCTCTTTACTCTCTATGTTTTCTCTCCTAAAAGACCATCAGGAATGACCCTGTCCCGCAGCTATGAGTTGGTAGAGTTTAACTTCCGGTTGTAAGAGCCCGGGTTCGAGTCTCGAGACGCTCCGGCGCTCGGTATTGAAACTCCTGACGCAGGGCCTCGGCTAAGGAATTTTGACTGGTGAGCCACTTGGGCAGCGACATGGACTGACCTTCGTAGCCATAGCACCATTTTCGATTTCTCGCCAGATTTTGGCCATTTTATTCTGCCAAAAACGTCAGGATGGCATTAAAAATGTTAAAAAACGGGGCTCGACCCCCCCCCGACTCTTCAGAGATAGAAGAGAGAGTAGGGACCCACAACCCTCTCAGTGGTGATACTCCGGCGGTGCACATAAAATCGCACAAGTATGCACACAATATTGACGCAGATTATAAAACTTTGGACGATAACTTACGGCCGGTCGGAAGTTAAAAATCAGCGAGCCCTGAATGCATCGCTCGCCGACTAGTCGGAGATTCGGAAATCGGAAGCGGTCGGACGGGATCGGGCGTTGTCGGGTGGATCGGGAGGAATTGTGAACAGCACTTTATATATAAAGTGGGTTGTAGCAGGAACCCCAAAAGGGGGTTGTAGCAGCAACTCCAACATCTCTGAAAATGATCATTAAGCCTATTGGTGTCACATGGAAAAGAATTCACTCAAATGCCCAAGCGCACTGCGCAACCCTAATATTTTCTTTAAAAAAAAACTAAGTTATGTACGCTTCTGTTGAACAGTGTCCCAATCTTCAGATTTCTCTTGGGTGTCTGAGTGGAAAATTCTAGCCACCCAAAATGTGAGAGTGGAAAATTATCCATTCTTATTCTTGAGTGTCATCTTCAGCCCAAATGAGAAATTTTTGGAACGCTGACTGTGAACGGTTCGAAATTCGTCCAACTGGTCAGAACTCAGATGTGCGACTGCAAGCATCATAACGTTCGTGAAGACGTAATATCGCTTGCAGACTTCAATCGGCTGGAAGTTGCCGACACTACCACTAGTTTGACTCTGGCTTATATCGTGTCTATCGGCGAGCGGTCTGAGATCGCTCGCAGGCTTATCCCCGACCGTCTGAACTGGTCTGTTCTTTATTCGTAGTTTTTCTTGTAACCGACTGGTCTGCGGCAGATGCTTAAGTGACTGTAACCACTCGATCGATCGGAAAGCTTGCAAGAACTCTCGCAGACCTCGATCGGCTGGAAGCCGCCGACACTATCTGTAATTGACATAGGCAAACGTCTTTCACGATTATTGCATAAAATTTAAATCCTCGGTGACACTTAAACGGATTGGACCAACGGACGAGAAACGGACGAGAACTGTCAGCGTCCGGTGATGTCCGTTTGTTTCCGTTGGACGTCCGTTTGTCATCCGTTAATATCCGTTCCATGTCCGGTGGTGTCCGGCTGAGCACACCGGACACCACCGGACATGGAACAGATATTAACGGATGAGAAACGGACGTCCAACGGAAACGAACGGACATCCCCCGGACATCACCGGACGCCGTCCGTTTCTCGTCCATTGGTCCAATCCGGTGAAGTGTGACCGAGGGTTAACTTACGGCTGTCTCAAGAAACCGGGAATGGTGATGGTATTAGGCGGGCAACGACGATCAAGTTCTTACTTTTAATAATGCAACAATGTAGTAGGGCCTCTGTCTCTGTCTGTATCACAATGTTACCTACGTCGTGATGTAAAATGTGAAAACTTCGATTTTTCGGAAAATTACTGGTGGGCCAAATCTTTGAGGCTGGTGGGCCATTTCTGGTCACTGGTGGGCCATTTGGCCCACCAGTTAACATGTTAGCCGAGGCCCTGTCCTGACGGGGATGGTCTGCGGTTGGTGGGAGCAGCCGCAGCCAGTTGAAGTCAGTTGAGTGGGGCAGGCCGTGTCCGGCTTTGAAGGGCACGTTAAACTTTGGCATCTATATTCTCCCGATACCCGGAATTGTGCGATCGCACGGGGGGTCGGGGTTCTACGCAACAGCCAACAAGCCTCTGCTTAGCGTGGGCTCCGGCTCTGTCAATCCGTCCATTCAACATTCGAGCTAAATTTATTAAAAAAACTGTGACCTCATGGAGGGGTGAAGGTCAAGTCTAACTTGACCGTCACCCCTCCATGAAGGGTCAAATGTCGGGGCACCGCATAAGTGGCCCTTTATTTTCTTCTGAACGTTCTCTAAGTGGTCCCTTTGTGTTCTTCGCCTAAAGCAACATCGGGGATTACTCTCACCTGTGACCTGTCACCTTTCACTCGACTTGACCTCCTAATCGGAGTTCAAGGGTCGGGTAGGTACGACGACAGGCCCACACATGGCGTAGGAGAGTTTCAGCAGAGTGGCGGGTCGCAGCGTCACACCCGTCGTCGGACAGTTGGTGGTCTCGCCCGCCTCTCGGTCAAACGGCTCCAAAATTACAACTTCTCTCCTCTCCCTCTCTCTCCTCTCTCTCTCTCTCTCTCTCTCTCTCTCTCCTCTCTCTCTCTCTCGTCTCTCTCTCTCCTCTCTCTCTCTCTCTCTCTCTCTCCTCTCTCTCTCCCCTTCCCTCTCTCTCTCTCTCCTCTCTCTCTCCCTCTCTCTCTCTCTTCTTCAGTGGCCCGAGCCGTTTGTTTATGTGTTTTGTAAGCTTGCAATTGAATAGTGAGTTCAAGTAGGTAACGAGTGTTAATGAGTCAGGAGTTTTTCCGCTCGTACGTTCACTCACCGCACGTGAGCCGACTTCCGAGGAGTTGCCCACGACCAATGATGAATGATGACCGTTCAGCCCGCGCAACAAAAGGTTTGGGTATCGAAGAGAAGGATAGGAGCGTCCTGAAGACATACCTACATATAATAGGATAGATCGGAGGTGAGTCGGCCGGGCGGCAGCTCGGGTGATCTGCACTCTCCAGGGCACTATAGGTTGTTGCCAGTAGCGGCGGGACACCTTCAATTAAGGGGGGGAGACACTGACGACTTTTGGTCCCATTCTTTCCATGCAGCGCCCATAGGGCTAATGTTAAAATGCCAAAATCAAGGGGGCACGGTGCCCCGGTGCCCCCTACCCCACCCCGTTCCGCCGCCTATGGTTGTTTGCGGTGGGACTGGGAGCGATCAGCGAGCCGCAGTCCATCGTGAGCGCCTGCAACTTTGCAGAGTGTGCAATGCTGCAGGTGCGTGGCGCCTGCGCAGAGGCGTTAGCACCAGTGAGCCTTTGCATTGTGACCGAGCGAACCAGCGTTTTGCTTTTGAACTCTACAACAATATAGCTACTTCCGGTACAGCGGTCAGCGAGGACCACAAAATATTCCAGCTAAATAATGCGTGCAGTTATCACAGCGCAATGAAATCCGATCCCTTCAAGCTTCAGTTTTCCGAGCTCGTACCCAGCTCCGCCAATAAGCTTCATTTGCCTGTTTGTTGTGTTGGGGTTAACTACCAGGCTCAATTAGTCCCCCTGTAACGGACGATTTTTTTATATGTCCTGTGCATCTGCTTTGTTTGTTTTTCCGCCGCCTGGCCGGTCCGTCGGCGGGCGGCGGAAATGACGCCTGCCGCTCCTCACGGCGGGCACCCGATGGGTCAGGTAAAACCGACCGGCCAGGGTGCGACGTCTTCTCATAAACAGTGACGGGCCTTTCCGAGCGAGCAGCGGGCGCCGAGGACTGACGGGGAGGGCGGGGAGGGGCCACAGGACCGCCCCGGCGCGGCGCTGGAGCGGCAGGACCGCGGATGGCCGCCCGGCCAGTCTGAGAGCGCGGCCGAGCGGGGCTGGACGGTGGTGACGATGGTGCGACGGGTGGTGACGATGGTGCGACGGGTGGTGCCGGTGGTGGTGCTGGTGGCAGCGCTCCTGTGCGGCGAGTCTGGAGCAGACGAGCCGTCTCTGCGTCCCCGGGAGGTGGTGGCCCTGCAGCAGACTCAGTTCGGCCTCCAGCTGTACTCGGTGAGGCGCGAACCGCTCACAACGTGGTTATAAACCATTCACACTACTTAGTCAGCCGGTTTTATAGATACAAAATGGGATAATACCCTTTTGATGAGTTTTGTCAGTCAACAATGTTACCAATAGGCATTACGTATGCAGTGGTGTGGTTGTAAGCAAAATTGTTTAGCGTAGGTTTTCTAAGCTGCTCAATACCTAGGCTAGTTATAACGCAGGTGGCAATGGATATGTACTCCGAAGGTTTCGGAGTATCCATTGCCATTTGCCACCAGTTTCGGACCGAAACTTACTGACATCGCACTTACTTGAAACTGTATTACCAGCATTGACTGGCAATGTCACAGTCACAAATAATGAGGCGGTCACACATGATGAGGCGGTGGTACTTGCTGTTCTAAAAAGTCGAGTCGAATCATCCGGTAAGAAATTATTTTACGCGACTGCAGAACGACGAAAGACACTAGAAAAGTGAGACACTATAGGCAGGCATTTGTACTTACGTAACTGCACTTCCGTTTCGATGCTTGTTTCTCGATCTTCGTGTTATATTTTGAATGTTTTTTCTTATTTTTTTACGTCCTTACTATTGTTATTGACTGTATATTGTCATGGGCATTCAACAACTGTTCATTTTGCATTTTAAATGGTTCATCGTTACGACCTCTCCATACCGGATATCCATAAACAGTATTTTGCTGAGCATTATAACGCATTCCCTTCCCTGATTAGTGACTAGATCACCTACGCATGTTTGAAAGGTGCGCTCTTCCGACATACATCTCCGAAAGTTCCGCGGTGACGCACCATTTGCCGGCTGTACCGATTTTCCTGGGTCGGAACACTTTGTCGATGATTCTGTGATTCCCGAGCTGTCCTTTAGGCCCTCGCGGGCGCTCTGTAAACAATCGCTTCGGGGACGGCCAGGGCGTGGGTCATCGATATCCGGCCCCGGTGGATCTTCCGAGAAAAAAAAGAGAGCTAGAAATGTATCATGGTCGGTCCTTCCCGGAAAGACCAGCTTTCGTGGGCAATCCATAATCGGTGTTGGCGGATCTTCCAAACCAATGTTTTGCTTTTTCCCGTGCACTTCGGCCTCGAGTGAAGTATTCGCTGGTAGTTGTTACTGGTAGAGCAATACGAGCTTACGTCAAGCTGAATGTGAATTGTGATTTAGATTTAGGGTTTTGTCCTGGATAATAAACGAGAATAAACGAGATGAAAAATTGAATAGATATATCCTCCGAGTCGTGTAAGCAACGGCATGTTTGAGCATCGTTAGTAATGTTATTGTGATGAAAAATGACCTGGTAATTGCTCATGATATAATGTGATTAAATTGAAATAAAAAAGACCATTTTTTAAATCATTAGATCAAAAAATCGAAAATGATTTTTTTTGTCTGATTTCAATTCAACTTAATCATATTATAGCATGAGCATGACGTCATTTTTTTTCTGACTGTTCTACCAAATCGGCATTGACATCCTTTGTGCATATTCACGAATGATATGGTTTACTGTTAAGTATTTAGATCGCTCCCAAACATCGAGACCAAAAAGTTTGAAATTTTATAGCATTCAATGTTGAGTTAGGTAATAGAAGATTAGTAAGATACAATAATTAATTGATTAGCCTTATCTAGATCGAACATTTATTCCTCGCTAGAGCACCATGTTAACAAAAAAGCACAAAAATTGAATACATAAATCGGCAGAAACCAAAAGCCCTATGACGATGGGCCTATGACGAAGCAATGTATCGATGGGGGCACGAGGGCAGTGCCATAAATGATCTGTTGCTAGGACTGATTGACCGGAATTAGCTACCCTTTTCTGCGCTTTCGATACGGCACTTAGGTCACATCCCGGATTCATATTAAAAATCATATTCAACCGTCTGAAAAGAAATATTTTCAGATGGTTCTGAAAAGAAATATCCTTAGATGTCGCGTCATTTAGTGCTTACAATTCAAAAGCCACTGGTAATGAAGAAGACGCAAAGGGAATGGATTTTTGCAGAAATGATGCCAGAAGTCGTGACGCTGACCTTACAGGCGCCCGGTTAATTAATCCCGGTAGCTTTTCAGTCCCCTCTTTTTCCTAGCTCTGGGAGCGTGTAGGTACTGGTTCTGAGTCCAACTGAGGCTCTCCTTTCAGCTATTTGGCTTTCAAATGTATTTCTTTACCACTGATATGAATGGCTATGTTGATATTGATGAAACGTTACTGGAGGCCGAACTCTTGGCTTTATAGCCTAATATGATCATTGATCAGTGATCACAGCGGAAAGTTGCACAATACGAGCCAACTTGTCCAACGACGATAACTTGTTTTAATTGGGAAAATTGTGCGTCTGGTTATCCGTGGTTGTCATTATAACTTTGCTTACCTTTCACTTCATTTTGACATATAATTCTTCATATTCTTCAGAAACATTAACGACCTTGCGAATGCCGACTGTAAGCGTGCTACTAGTCCTGTCGCTACGTGACCCAAGAACCAACTTAGTTGGGAACCTTATTAGTCAAGCGCACCCTTAACTCCTACCTTGGTGTGTTGATATCGGAGTTCCAGCCTGCCGTGCTTCATTGTTTCTGCGTGCAGTTTGATCAATCCACTGTTAGGTTATGGGTATGATTATTTGGTAATATAGCCTTCACTGCGAAAATGTGTCACTATATGGGCAGAATAAGTGTTGTTTTATCAAAACAAATGTTAACTTATTGGTGTCGAGTTACATTTTCAACGCTTATAAGGAAAAATGTATTTATATCGTATGCTGTCAAAATTTGAGTTCAACGATTGCAATATTCTCTGTGATAAAAACCAAGCATGAAAACTTTGCACTTTATTTTATGCCAAATTAATCATCATCCATGAATATTATAGCCCACCACGCGTATCCGTGCCATTGTATATTTATGAAAATCTATTTTGAACTCATGAACTGAAATAGAAGGCGAATGCCATTCCAGATATCAGACTGAAGAGTGAAGTAACGCCCACGGACCGTTGGCGTTATTTCAGACGGAACCGCTCAGTTGACACAACACACATTTAGCGAGCTTGTGAATTTACGTGCGCCAACGAACACATAAGCCGTTAGCATTCCCGTGGTGACACTGATACAGACGGCACAATGATAATCCCTTTTCAGAAGGTAGCATTAGCCTTCACTTATAAACGTGAAGTAATTACGTTTATACAAATCACTTCAACACTTTGCAACATCCGGTCGCTGAGATAGTTCGCCATTTAATGAAATAATTTTACAACAGCCACAACTTATTAGCTTGACGCTCGCGTAAAATTGTCTTCCAAGGAAGGCGTATTGCTACAGAGCTTGTACTATATCCTTTCATCATGTAGTTTCAGAAACTTGCAGATAGTTTGGGATCATTAGCATCTTTGGAGATTTTCGATTTGGCTGCGAATAAGATTAAATGGACTATCCCACCTTCTAAAATGTTGTTAAAACCAGTTAAATTGTGCCCGACTTTATAGATTGGATGACCAGGAACACGGTTCTGGCATTTATTTTTCATTAACCCTCGCCCGCACATGCCATTTTCCCATCCTAGAACGCACATGGGGGGGGGGGGGTTGCCACCCCCCCCCGCGCCATTTCGTTCCTGTTGGAGATAGAGCTTAGCAGTAAAGACCAAAAAGATTCTTTGGGAAGAGACGAATCCAATGATACCCAGTTTTACCTTCTCAGGTCAGTCATTGACCTTCCAGGTCAGGTCAAACTAAAAAATGTTGCTGTTTTGGGTCACCGTTGGATATCAAGTGCGCTGCTTATCAAATACCGATGACGATGCTGTTTTCTGGTGCCAAGCCAGATAGAACCTCTTTGTCACACTATCCGACCAGAATTTTGCTGCTGAGGTCATTTCAGGTCAAGTTAGGTCAAGGTCAATTATATGTGTTTGTATGTCTGTGTGTGTCTGTGTGTATACTGATGTGTGCACCGATTGTTTTTGAGCCCATATCACATGAAATCATGATCTGAGAAGCTTTTACCAAAAATGCAGTTAAAAAAACTTCACAAAAAGTAAATTCAGCTTGCCTAAAACGCAATTATCTTAGATGACCTAGGTTGACCTTGACCCTGACCTTGACCCCTGTACATCGTCGAACAACATGTTCCATGATAGGTGGGAGGTAAGACTGGCAAAAAAGGCCGAAATCAGGGTGTCAAAAGCTCACAAGGCCCATGGCAAACGCAAGATGTTGAGAATTGGCCATTTGGGTCATGACATGACCTGAAAAACAAGGTCATATCTCCGAAACCAAAAACCACAGAGACTTGAAATTTTCAGTGGACATCAAGAAAGGATAGACGAGCAGCTATACGAAAAATCAGCCTTCTAGCTCTAAAAATGTTGAGTGCAGAGCAGAAAGACTGCCTGGGGGGGGTGGCAACCCCCCCCCCCATGTGCGGGCGAGGGTTAAACATCTTAGGCTTCCCATATTCCAAACACAAACTTTCAAATATGTGACGTCACAGCCCAAAATTACCTCCTTCCCCAGGCCACATACTGTCATAAAGCTGATTCTTTTTACTCTGTAGGCACCACAACAAAGTTCAGACCAAGTTTTAAGCGATTTTTCAACGAACAAACCCATTTAAATCAGAATGACTAAACGAGGTGACGTCACACTAACGGTCGCTCCATGTTGAAGATAGGGCCTTGCACAAGGCCCATTTTCAAATGAAGGGAGCGAATTTCTTCAACACCAAGAGGCCGCGGGGGTTGCAACCTAGATAGATAGTGGTTTTTGAACCTCGCCGCAAACTTGGCTATTTCAACTCAAACCCCATGTTAAAGGTGGGATAGTCCCTTTAAGAAGCTTTGCTGTTGCGGATCACCAATTTCCCAGTTTGTCGGTACGTGCTCCCAAATCCAATTCCTTCTGTTCCATCGACAGTTTTATTATGTCATTGTTGTACGAACATATTTTGCATCTAATAGCTACCGTTTCAAAAGTGGTCTCCTTTTCAAGTTTGGATCCACATTATTCATACCTTCGCCCCTGTCATTGTCGAACAGTTTTCACCAGTTTTAAATTCTTTTGCTAGCACTGAAAAGACTTCGCACTACTCACTTGAAGAGATTCCTTGTATGTTAAATACCTAGGCATTCAGTGAGACCCAAACATTTCAGTGTCAAATTACGTAAATAAAACATGCTTCTTATGACGGGTTGGGTGAGCCACTTTGGAAAAAGGGGTGCCAGTCCAGTTTCTCCAGTCCAATTCAGAAGTCGACAATAGTTTCTTTTCATGGATGAGATCGTCGGCTTCAGTTGCCTGACGCTGCCTCCAAATCGGCCACAACCAGCTGGTCAGAGGCAGCGATTTGAGGTGTGCGCTCCGGGGCCCACGGGGCGATTTCGGACTCCTCGGGACTCGGCCGAAACCCGAAGAACAGCCGCACGGCCCTCCGGATGATTGTGTTGCTGGCGCCGTACGCCCAGTACTCGACGATGAGGGAGATCACCCTGGCAAAGTGTGTGACGTTCAGAAACACGGGCGGCAGCGTGAACCAGCGAGACGCGATGTGAATCCCCGTGCCGATGATGTCGATAAGAAGAAATATGACCAGCAGCTTGACGATACGCTTGAAGGACTTGAAGCGCATCATGAAGCGACGGGTTTGATGGCTGACATCACCTTTAGCGATCCTTTTCTCGTGCTTGAAACCCTGATAGGCTGTGTAGAGGAGAATTGCACACGTCAACATCGAGAAAAGAAGGAAGCACGCCTGAAAAGCGACCATGAAGGCGTTCGGTATCATTTGCCAGCCACATTTTTGGATTTCATGGCCGATGCCGAGCACACGGATGTCGAACTCGGCTACAGTTTCTAGTTCCAGATGGTGGCATACCAGTCCGACCACAGTCAGTGTGACGATGTAGAACCAGGTGAGAGCGACCATCCTTTTCACCCATCGGCTCATGATGGTGAAGTGGCGTAGCGAGAACACTACAGCGATGTACTGCTCCAGAGCCAAGAAGAACGTCGACACCTTGAATCCGCCGAAAATGTTCACTCCAATCAGCATCAGCACCCCGCAAAGCAGCTGCGGCATGTCATAACCGTACTGAACGTCAATGGCAGAGAGAGCAAAGGACGTGAAATTGAAAAGAAATAGAATAATGGTCATGTTCAGTATGAGGATGACCATTGGCTCTCCACGAATGGTACGGTTTCTGGCGATCACCGTCAGAGGCAGGGCAAAGATCAGAGTCAGCACCAACGGGACTCCGGTTCGCAGCCAGCCGATCATTGCGATAGATCAGACCAAACCCGACAGATCACTGTAGTTACCTGGAGATGGGCCAACGGTCGGTCTTTCCCAGATGACTCCACCTTTCGGGGTCTTTGTTGTCCGGTGCTTGTTCAACGTCGAAGTGATTCTTCGTGCAATGTGTTGCGTCTTTTCAAGCCTACTTGTCACGGCCGTAGGGTGTCGACGGTCGTTGATTTTCACAGCAGTCGAGTCTTCGCCGAGTGGTGAGAAGCGGATGCGCTGAGCGAGCCTTTATAGCTACCGGTCGGATGGCTTGGCTACCATGGCAACCCTTCAAAACAGTATATTTCTGCTCAGCTGTGAAGAGCTCTGCTGAAGAAGGAGTGATCTCCGTCATTGAGGCCAGGGTTCTCAAAGGGAGCCCATATACTCGAGGTAATATAATTATGGGAGGACGTATGTATGGGTCTATTCACGATCATGTATCCATCATTCAGGGTAAAATGAAGCACCTTTGCCGAAGCAAAGGTTTCCTTACAATCAGATCGCTGGTGTTTTCCTTGTCTTGGAAGAAGAAAGAGGACGAGAGAGAGACTAGAGAGAGAGAGAGAGAGAGAGAGAGAGAGAGAGAGAGAGAGAGAGAGAGAGAGAGAGAGAGAGAGAGAGAGAGAGAGAGAGAGAGAGGGAGGGAGAGAGAGAGAGAGAAAGAGAGAGAGAGAGAGAGAGAGAGAGAGAGAGAGAGAGAGAGAGAGAGAGAGAGAGAGAGAGAGAGAGAGAGAGGAGGGGGCAAACAGTTTGAAGAGAAGACGAGGACGGTTAAACAATTCGATCCAAGCAAGTCCCTCAGCAACAGGAATGTTCTGAACATTGTGTCATAACCGCTAATCCCGCGATTTAGGTAAGCTTTCAATGGCACTTGATGGGTGACAGCCAGCGCTGCAGTGACGTCTTTTGCTGCAGGTGCTGCGTTAGATTTTGTCCGATGCACCGAACGGCCCAGGCGGGCATTTCCGCCATCGCTGGGCCGTTACATCACACCGGGAAGTGCTATTGTAGTTAGGTACTAGTTTTCCCTATTTATGGATCGTGAGGCCGTATCACGGTCCATTCTATGTATGCTTTTGATATTGACATTGTTGTGTGAGATGCGCAGCTCATGATTTATACTTTACATACCTACGCAGCATAGTTATCCATTTGGAGAGGAAACATTTTGATGATCTTTTGATTGTTACATATGTGACTGTTATAATAGACATAAAACTTGTTCAAATGACGTCATTTCGTAACTACGAAGCATAAGTTTCTTCTTCATTTGAAAGTGTTTTTGTGTACAAGTGCCGAGTGCCTGTTGACCTCTCGCATGTTTTGCTGCACCAATGATGTTTACGACGGAGTTTACTAAATATAGGTGCCAACGGTACTTTTGCTACAATAATGACGGTGGTTCGCTAAACAATAAAACTAATAAAGCTGAAATATCTGGTTTTTAACAATTTTTTTACCTCAGTGTAGCCCGAAACGAAAACGAATTACAAACATTTACCTGAGGAAGATTAGAAATGACACTTCGTCAATAGCTAATAAAACTCATAATTATCGGTCGGAATCTGGAGAACCCCGCTAACTCACTGGTGAAAAGTTTCGGACTGCCAGGACCGTGTAAGGCGAATGACGATCTGTAAACGCCAAAAGGGGAGGATGTACCTACTCAATTTTGATTATTTTTCAAATTAACGGCAAGGGGATTTTTAAACTGCCAATAACTCGGTTCATTTTGATTGTAAAATAATAAAGCTACTTAAAAATAATCCTCGTTGCGCAATGCATCCTAGATAATAGAGATAAAATGTACAAAGGACCACGAGACTGATTGCGCTCTAGCCAAATGATTCCCCGCTGATCTAGACTCTCGCGAGATTAAGCGGAAGGTTTTGCACTTTTACATTTCCGGCTATATCTCAGAAACTAATAAATCTACGATGAAGCCATTTTACACGATCATGGCAGGCTTGTGAACCAACAAGTCGATCGCATCTTCGACACTTAAAAGCTTAGACGACGAAGATATAGCCTGAAGTACACTAAATTTTCTTGGTGCAAAACCTACCGTTAAAACCCGCGAGACTTATAAATTCCAGCTGGAGTCCAGGCGGACTGACATTTAAACATTGAGTAGCTAAGCTCCCCAATGTATACACACGCTGGGACTACTGGGCCGGGTGTCAAGTGTAAATAGTGGCGTCATCTCGCAATTCGGACGGGTCGACGCCGCTCCAGAGAGCTCGACAGAACAGTCACGTGTCCGTACTCAGAGAGCATTTACAAGTCACAGCACGAGTCACGTGATTATATCTGAGAGTTGGACTGATCAGTCACGTGTCCGCACTCAGAGGCCATTTACTCGTCGTAGGATGAATCATTTGCCCAACTGTTCAGTGCTCCAGCTGATACTTTTATCACGGGCGACAGGAGAGTTGTCCTTTCGTTTACACTATACCTGAACAAAAAACGTAGCATCAAAAAGACATGCGAAGAGTGAACCGTGAGAACATCTTTGTGAAGCCAAGCGTTAAAATGTCTTCTTTATTTTTTGTTTATAAAGTTAGTCCGAGCCTCCTGAGCGGAAGGATTCACAAGAACAGAGACCACGCTAAGCGGAGCTTGTTGAGTGTTTCTGCCCTAACGTGGAGGCGCTCCGGTTCCGATTCGGACGAGGCTATCGCTGCGCAACAGAGTGAAGGGTCTCATCACAGAGGAAAGCGTGCGTTTCTGTTCGAGACTTATGCTTACAATCCGACGTGCCGCCGAACAGCTGGCGTCCTACCAAGCTGACGACTTCAGTCGTCACTTCGCTAGTGTCGGCCCATGTATGTATAGCGGAGGAGCTGAAAGCGGGAGGCGCCCCAGCCCTGCCACCGAGACCACCGACCGTCACGACAGCGGGTCTGACGCTGCGACCTGCCTGCCGGAACTCTTCCGTGCCATGAACGACCTGTCAACGTCAATAGCCGTCGCCCATGATGCTATATCCCTGCATGCCATCCGCCAGTGTTTCACTGCATGCTTGGTCCTCATGTGCTTCTTCTTTGTAACGCGTATGTATGCATGTCTTGGTATGTATGTATGTACGTATTGACATCAAAAGCCTTCCACATATGGCGTGGCGATTACGGCTTATAGACCGGGCCAGATATTACGGCTTAGATCCGAGTATGGTAACAATAATGCGGGCAGGGGGAAGAACACTCAGCACTAGACGACAGTCATCCATCGATGGGGTCGCGACAATAATCATTTACATATTGTACATAAGACAAACAATATACATATATAAGCACAAACAGATCGTCCACCTATTAGCGGCATGGTTTGTATGCTATTTTACAGATTCGTCAGCGGCGTAGCGGGGTGTTGTTCATCAGCGCGGCCCTGGCACACCGGGCGTCCAATTCCATATCATCCTGCACCTGCACCTTCTCCTCATCATCGGAATTAGCCTCAGTGTGCCCATTCATAAGTCGGGTAGCTTTGATGTAGCGGGAAATGGTAGACCCGTTTCTTCTTTACCGGATTCAGGAAAAATCTGCAAAAATGTTCAGCTTCAAAAACCAATGCATCACCTAAAGGGCATTGGCGTCCTTATCATCGTGGTCTCCCTACACCTACGCTCGTTCAAATCTCTCACTTTTTAATCACCTTCCCAACGTTCCAGGTTCTGGCGAAGGACGACCAGTCGTCCAACATTTTCTTCTCGCCGCTGAGTATCGGCACGGCGCTGGCGATGGTCTACGCCGGCAGTCGAGGGGACACCTCACAGCAGATGGAAGAGGTCCTCGGCTTCCAGGGACGGCGGAAGACCGTGCTGCGCGGACACCGCGGCCTCGTGCGCTGGATCCGGGTGGGTATTGTAGAACTTTTGGAGCGAGAAATTAGTATAGTGATTGAGAATCAGTTGCACGAATCGCTAAATTATACGCCGTTTGTAATAATATTCATGCATTATCTTCCAGGATGCGTAATGCGTATGCAAGTAAGTATGAGTTTTTTCGGATATCCTATTCCCCACTCTGCCCGCGTCTTCTAGGTACGTACGCACTTTAAGCGCCTCTCTCTCTCTATCTAGTTATCTCTCTCTCTCTCTCTCTCTCTCTCTCTCTCTCTCTCTCTCTCTCTCTCTCTCTCTCTCTCTCTCTCTCTCTCTCTCTCTCTCTCTCTCTCTCTCTCTCTCTCTCTCTCTCCCCTGCTCCTCTGACGGCCCACTCCCCCTTCCACTTCTCCGCAGAGGCGACACAACAGTAGCGATGTCACGGTGAAGGTCACGAACAGGGTGTACGCCTCCCCGACGCTGCGCCTTCGAGCCAGGTTCGCCGCACGTATGAGACGCCTGTTCTACGCCAAGCTGAAGCAGCTGGATTTTTCGCGATCTGAGGAGGCCGCTGCTGTGGTCAATGCCAATGTGAATGAGGACACTGCTGGACGTATCACAGAACTGGTGGACCCCGGTGAGTGCCTCTGACGCTTCATACTTGCTGCTTTTGTTTGACGTGCCTGAGGCGTATTCATCGAGGGTGGTTTTGGATGTCGCTTACTTCCCGTTTGCGGGAAGATGAATGATGTCTTGAAGAAGATGAATGATGAATGATGCCGTTTCCAGCCTTGCAGACAATCTTCCGATTACATATAGTACTGTTGAGAGCTCCATTGAGTTCTTAGCACACACTGCAGTGTGCGTGACTGCATCAGTTGACGCCGTATCCATCTCATCATCGAAACGTGCCATATCATCAACCACAGACTTCTCTATCGACGAATGTAATATATCAACGAATCAACGAATGTAATATAGGTAGCACTGCTACCCGCATCACTCTGACATATCCGTTTTAAACAGCGACTGGTACCTATTATTCGCCCACATTTCTTACTGAAGTCACCATTACAATTGCCGATATCCGTGACAAATATCCCATAGGTACGGTTCTCGCGAGTTTAAGCGCTAGGTTGTGCCTATGGGATCAGATGTCTATGGGATCAGATGTTGGACTGATGCAGATGCCCAGCCGCCGAGGCAGCACTGTAACCTATCCCCCTTCATTCTCTAGGGACGCTGGACTCTGACACCGCCCTGCTGTTGGTGAACGCCGTCTACTTCAAGGGAGCCTGGCTGATGGAGTTCGACACGAGCCTCACAGCCGAGGCTGACTTCCACGCGCTGTCCGGCACCAGGACCGTGCAGATGATGAAGGCCAAGAAGTATTTCCCGGTCGGGTACTCCGGGTCGGTGGATGCTCGCGTCCTGAAGCTGCCGTACAAGGTGAGATACAGACTCTATATATCGTAGGTAAAATACTAGGGAATGAGAGAGGCCATTGTTAGGTCCAGTCATTTATTTCTTAGTCGTTCTTGTCTTTAGATTAGGTCCGAGCTTCTTTCTTATTATTATCGATAAGTCTTGTGAAAACATGGAAAGGTGACTACAACGCCGTCTTTGTTCGGGGTGTCGATGGTAGGGGTTGGGGGCATTGTACACAAATCATATTGCACTTTCATAATATCTCTTTTGTTTGTTGAGACGCAGCGATTAACTATACCATCCGACCGTACTATGCCCAGTTCGAATGTTAAGTGCCTTTTCAAACGGAAGAGTGATTATTTGATTATCTAACCAAGCCGATTGGTGGAAGGTGTGTGCGAGTGATGTATGACGCATAACGATGATATATGGAGTATAGACGTACAGTCCACAGCAGAAGTAATGTGTGGTTTCAGTCATGGGTTTGTTCTGCTTCTGAAGCCTAGGAACGATTAGCCAGACTGCAACGAGACTTTAAATGTAGCTTACATGTATCTTCACCCTTGCACCTACAACTTTATCTATTGACGCCTTCTTTTCAATCAGTCCGCATTTAAAAATCGTCGGTCAAAGCCATCCGCTGAGATTGGTAAAACCACACATTACTTTAGCGGTGCGGCTTTACGTACATACATACGCTCAGTTACGCTACGGTATTCATTACGTTACAGGGCGAGGCCATTAGTATGCTGATTGTGCTGCCTAATGAGATGGACGGTATCCATCTGCTGGACGCTGAGATACACAAGGCGAACATGGAAGACCTCATCTGGAGCCTGGACAGCAGCGAGGAGGTCGAAGTCCAGCTCCCCAGGTTCAAAATGGAGGAGAAAATCGATTTGAAAGAGACGCTGAAAAAGGCAAGTACCCAACCAGAGCCTTTGGTGCTACTCAATTTTGCATGTCATTTCAGAGCTGTTATTCTGCTAAAAGCCAGGTAGGCAGTCGATACCTTATGCGCTTGAACCGAAACCTTATCTTCCATATGGTCATTAGTAGCCGTTTTCACGACGGCCATCTGGTACGTACACATTTGGTGCACATCATCATTCGCCGGATAGCCCGTCGTGAAAACGGCTAATAATTATCAACTAGTCCATCAGATATTGCATCGGCTCGTACGATGCGCAACAGTCTGGTCGGCCGCAGCCGACATGTATCGTTTGATAAGAATGGGTTGCTTTGGTTAGTCGGCGACCTCTGACGTTTATCGCTCCCCGCCGCTCATACAGATGGGTCTGACGGACCTGTTTGACCTAAACGAGGCGAACCTGAGCGGCATCAGCCGACAGAGGATCTGCGTCAGTGATGTGGTCCACAAAGCGGCCATCGAGGTGACGGAGGAGGGCACCACCGCCACCGCGGCCACAGGTGAGAAACTGATATTATCACCGCCATCACATGTGAGAAACTGCCACCGCCGCCACAGGTGAGAAAATATAGCAGTCACCGCAACCAGAGTGGCCACGCAGATAAGTGATTGCCACTCTCGAACTTGCTTATTGCATGCGTAGGTATTATTGCGATCCACATCACATCTAGCCTATGTGCCATTCTTATAAGCTTAGTGAATGTCACAATAATGTTTCCTAAAAACTGTTAATTAACGATAATCTTTGTTCCTTATTCTGTGTACCTTTTGCCCCGCATTCCGACCTCGTTTTCCGTTTGCCCCTGCAGCCGTGGGCTTCAGTTTCCGCATGTTGAGGCCAAAGCCGGAGCCTTTCATCGTGGATCGACCGTTCTTCTTCGTGCTGCGAGACGAGAAGACGGGCGCCTCTCTGTTCATCGGCAGAGTCATGGAGCCCTGAGAGAGAGCAGATGAGAGGGAGAGAGAGAGAGAGAGAGAGAGAGAGAGAGAGAGAGAGAGGGGAGGGAAGGGAGAGGAGAGAGAACTAGCAGGGACTGAGAGCGAGGGCCACGAACAGACGACCAGGCAGCCCAGCGACCCTGCCTGTCAATGCTGAACGAGACCAAGACTTGCAGCGGCAGTGAGCTGCTAATATTGTCTCCAGGGGTCAATCTATAACGTCTCCTGCGGCTGAGTGACGTCTGCTGAGAAAAGATCGTCAGCATACTCTGAGACGGATGCACTGGAATTGATGATTGCGCCACCAGTTTTGTTGAAGCGCACTACGCACCGACGTTCAATGGTGAAGGTTAGTTTGTAAGGGGCACGGCGCTCCCAAGGTCCAAAACAAGGCAGAAAGTCACCGTGCCCTTTAAAAGTTAGCATCACCGAACTGTTTTAATAGAACACTCTGACGTGTGCCTTTGCACTGACCTCTGCACCCAGTTATATAAACGTTTCTGTGAATAGTATCTGCATCCCCGAGCATGGCCTAAGTTCTCTCATTCAGTCATGATCACCACCTCAGACGCATAACTTTTAAACCAGATCGTAGACATTTTAGCGTGAAATTTCGCCATAAGTTTGGTTAACATTGCAATCAGTTGCATTTGTTTATTAATGATTATTTCGGAGGGTGAACCTGACGTAATTATTTGCTCCTGAGTGCCGTGTCAGCTTGTTCGTGAGGGTAGTTTGCAGGGTAACTATATTTTTACAAGAAACAAAATAATCATGATCGATATGTTGTACTTGCCTTAGTGTTAAAAAACTTAACAACAATAATGCCGACTCATAGTTATTTGTTGAGATCATCTTACATAGAAGAGGGTTCAACAGGCAAATGTTCTGTAACGTGTCGAATCGATTTGATTGGTGAAATATTCTCGAATAAAATGATTGATGAACATTGATAAATACGCCTAATGTACCTATGTCTTTTTGAATATATGCACGGCGTTTTCCATGGTGTTTTATCGTTCCCATCAATACGTTTTTCGTCAACGCCGCCCTAATTATCAATAAAAATTATGGCAGTTGACACCAGATGGGCTCCAAAAGAGCTAAGGGCTGCTGTCACTCAGCTCAGCATACATATTACTCTTTTTCATGGGTAATACCAGCGCAACTGAGTGCACATCTGAAACCAAGGTAATAAAAAAATGTACACGTGTACTGCGCATTAGGCGAGGCCCACACATACCACATACAGTTATATAAGCTGCATTTTAAACGTGACACGCATGTTTTGATCATTCGTCAACGGATGCTGTGTGTGCAAAGCTGCATCAATGGTATCCATGGCAACGCCATCGCCGACTGTCATCCGACCCGCTCTCCATCTAGCCCGACAGGCCACGTTTCCACTTCTTTTGAGGACACTAATGCGTCTTCAGCAGCCGGAACGAATATGGAAACGCAATCGTATTGGAAACGCAATCCTATTACCGTTGGACATCCATGATTTTTGCGCGGTCGGGTTGAAACACATTTTTCTTAGACCATAAATTGGGAATTTGTGGTACTTCTATGAATTATTTCACGCCACTGAAACAGCTGGGTCCTTGCCAGATATATTCGTTTTGTCATGCGTGCCATGGCACAGGAAGAACACAACATTTGAGCTGACGCACAATACTGAGGATTGACGGATCGAGTGAAAACGCGAGACGGACTCGCAAGACGTCTACGCAAGACGTCATATAGGTGGACGTCATAGATAAATAGACGTCATAGATGTCATGGACGCTAGACTTCATAGATAGCATTATTTATAAAGAAAACAATCATACGCAGCTCGATTATGATGATCTGCATATTCAACACTCCGAAACATAACCTAGTCCATAGGCATAGACCACTATATACCACTAGTGACTAGGTATATAGTGATCTATGCCTAGTCATAAAATTACAACGCAAACAATATTCATCGTCCACAGTGTGATAACGGCTTATATTTCAAGGCTTATTACCAAAGAATATCTCAACCACAGCTTAGTTATGTAAAGCCCAAAGCCTTGTCACACTAGAGCTCACCAGATTTGCATACCAAAGCTCACCTCTCACAACTCTATGTGTACTCGCAAAATATGCATGCATGCATAGTATAGTTATGTATACTATACACTAGTGTAAGTACATTGCCCGCAAGTTGCTACCCCATCGCATCATGTCTCACTTCAGTTCTCACCACTACTTAGTTCTCACACCTCCCCACTCTCACCAAAGGGGAGCACAGCGCGTCTCCGGGTTCATGGGTGTCCCTGGGCGGCAGCTGAACGTGGCTGCGAACTCAGCAGTGTGTCGCGCCATTCGGTTCACGCGCTCTGGGTTCGGAGGGTGGGTGCTGGCTGCCACCAGAGCCGCGTAAGAGTCGACGTCAATGTCAGCGCAGTACACCTGAAAACCGAGGGTGAGAGCGAGAGAGAGAGAGAGAGAGAGAGAGAGAGAGAGAGAGAGAGAGAGAGAGAGAGAGAGAGAGAGAGAGAGAGAGAGAGAGTCGTAGGGTTAGGGTTGCACCCGGAAACAATTTAGGTACATGAATCATAAGAGAGCAGGAGATCACAACCACCCCTCCCTCTCCCCCTCTTTCCTCGGGTCACATTTCTGACCCCCCCCCCCCACAGATCCCCGCATGACCCTCTCAGATCTCTGACCTGTGCGAAGCTCATGAAGAAGGCCTGCTGTGTGGTCAGGTTGACACCAGGCAGGGCTGGCTCGGGCCCGAGTCGTGCTCGCCGTCGAAGGTAGGCTGATAGTGCCAGGGAGAGACTGCTGAAGTCGGCTGAGTTCTCGCCCAGGGTGAGGTCACCGTCCAGCTGAGTGGCAGGGGGGGGGGGGGGAGGTTACATGACCGGGCAATTTGCAGCTGAGGGTGAGGGTTTTCGTGAGCTACAACGATTCGCCGTCCAGATTGGGAGGGTGTAATATGACACGTGGCGCACGATAGATATGTGGCAGGCCTGAGAGCTCTGCGCAGCGGGAATGATTTAGGATAGCCTATGGTTTAGGGATTATTTTTTATCAAGTACGAAATTCATCCCGATATATATTAAAAGCAAGGCAAAGATATTCACGCAAATCAATAAAAAAGTTAACGTTTTGTGTCCGCACATGGTCGTCAACGTACGACAATCCAGTCATGCTCCTAACGCGACATATGATCATGAACTGAGCCCACAATATGATTACCTGAACATCCACAGATTGGTGGACACTGCTGGCCGTTTTGACCAGCGGTGTGACATACTCTGTCCGTATGCACTGGAATTTTTCGTCCGCCGTTTGCTGAAGTGCCGCTGGTAGGTGGCGCGCAGCACCCGTCTCGTCAAAACTGAGACCTGGTCAGAGCGAGAGAAACACCATGTGATGTCGAAAATGAAACGGCAGGTGCATAGACACTTTACAGCATAAGTGCACGGATGTTTGTAGGTGTGTTTGCGTTTGCCTACATATCTTGGTTTTACCTGTATGAAAGCAATCACATATCCGTCATAAATATCTACCTAAATACCTATTCGTTGTGGATATTTAAATTTTACAAAATGATGATTTTCAAAACTCGTGGGTTTGACCGGCAGTGAAAATGCAGGAACTGTAGTTCATTTTAACGTCTGCAAACAAGCTCCCTCATGAGCTCCTTTGAATTGCTAAGGCATCATTGCGGTAAGGATACCTTCGAGTTGTGCCGCATCCGCACGTATTAGGTTACCTACCTATTGCTTTGTAAGCAATCCATTCCCTTGTAGAAAGGGTTTACCGGTGGTAGTCTCTCGGCATAATTCTGACCTGTGCTGTCGATGCCGTGCAGTAGCTCGTGCGCCATCACCACGCCCAGCACGGCAAACTGGACGTACTCGGGAACGTCTCCGTGAAAGAACGGCTCCGTCAGCAGCGCCAGTGGCACTCCTGCGGCAGACGTGAGAATGACTAGTTATCTCACCAGTCGATAGGTGGCAGCAGGGGTAGGCGCCTGAAGTTATGCTGTGCCGCAGTTCCCCTTTTTGCGGCTGCTGGCTGTCGTTTCACTTCTCACCTGAATCATTGTAAATAAAAACGTTTTATAGTATTTTCACACCTTAAATGATTATAAAACATTACAAGGGCACGTTATCTTCGTGTTTTTTTTTTTTAATACCGGTGTAGAGAGAAGACCTTGCACCTACGACTAACGGGCATTGGAGGGAAAGTCGTACGTTTTATTCGTGCATTTTTTCATAACGGCTGGGGAAGCATATTGATAACGGAAGCAAGACTTATATTTTATTCAAGTCTTGTTTTTATCCAAACATAAGCGATCTGATAGAAAACTCATACCGCAGGTCGTAGAGGGAATCATGTATCAATTATCAGACACAAGTGCCTACGTGCCCCCATTTATGTGGTGAGTGAGCCTTAACATGATCTCACCGACGGCGTTTCTGGCAGGGAGGTGGAAGGCGTTGGCCGTGTGAGGCTCCACCTCCGTCGGCCACCTGTCGGCACAGCGGGAATGCCGCAATTAAATCACATTAGACGGCAAAGCACAAATTAAAAATGGAGCGCATACAGGATCAGTTCTTTGCCGATAAATAAATCAATCCTTTATTGTCAATGTTTTTTTACAGCACAATTTAGAGTCCCGAACAAACTTAAGAAAACTAGTCATGGTGTGCATGCAGCATGCGTTACTGAAAATAATGCCAATCGATATAACTTGAAGTTTTTGTTATCGAACAATGAACAGTGAACGCGGCTTGCTTCTTACATCCGTCAAATATGTTGACGAATCTTAGGCCGTAACATTACCTAAGCTGAAGTGCACACTAAACTCTTATTATCTGGCTAAACATACCTCAAAGGGTCTGTAGATGCCATCTCTCGAAGCGTCAACTTTAACAGTTTTACTTGAGCCCGTCTCAGGCCTCTGAAGAGGTCCAGCAGCATCTTGGATCCAGGCCGCACCAACACCCTTGGAGACTGGAGAGATAAACAGCAGGGAAAGAATAAATTTACTCAAGGCACATGGAATATGAAAACAAATGCGTATGTTAGGAATTTGTTGGAAAATGTACGTACCACCCAATGCTACGCGTAAGTTTATCATTTTAAGCGGTAATTAATGGTCGTATCGTTATTTAACCCTCGCATGTGTAGGGGGGGGGGGTCGGATGGACCCCCCCATGGTTTTTCGCGAATAACTCGCGTAAAAAGCGGCCGATCGCGACGAAACTTTCAGTACCCTCGCATTGATCAATTTTACACGTTCCCTGAAAATTTCATGACCCTGACCCTAATGACCTTTGACCTGTGACCTCTTTTCCGACACCATGTTTGGCCGGAATCGCGATTTCGCGTATGTCGGCTCGCACTAGCCGCGTGTTTGCAAGCTTTTCGTGGTTTCAAACGTTCAAACATGTGATTTGATGTTACTCCCTTGTGTGTCAAGGTCACCTGAAGGTCAGGTCAGGTCATTGACCTTTGGTGACCTCGGGTGACCTCGGTTCACTTTTTCGAGTTTTACATGTTTCTAGGCTAGTTTTTGGAGCTGAATTCGAATTTAGCAACCATTTGAACATTTACGAAGTAGTTTTGGTGACTTTGTAACATGTTACGAAGCTGTCAGAGGCGGTTGACACGTACTACGAATACCCGTCACGACGCCTACTGGTTGACCTGACCTGACCTGACCCGACCTGGTCTAAATGCTTCAAGACATCATCTGTGATCAAAACTAACACGATATTCGTGATCAGCACTCCGAAAAACCCCTTAGAAGCCACACTTTACGACTTTTTAACAGGTCCCGATTTTCCCGACTTTGGGTCATTGACCTGACCTGGAAGGTCAACCAATGACCTAGGACCTTAAAGTTGGGTATCATCGGCTTCCTCTCGTCACGGGCAACACGCTCGTTTTTTCCGCGAAGCTCTAGCTCGATCAGGGGCCAAACGGCAAGGGGGGGTCCAACCGACCCCCCCCCCCTACACATTAGAAGCTGGCAAACGCCGCACACATGCGAGGGTTAACCAAGCACAGGCGACTGGAGGCTCCGACCTGAGGTGACGTTTTCCAGAGTCTGGAGACGGGCGGCGTGTTCACGTTCACGAATGTGTCGTTCCACAGGTTCTCCGGCGCCAGCAGGTAGGTGCGAGTGGCCGCGATCTTGTCCTGAGCCAGCGTTAGGAGCCGGTCAGACGCGGTGCGTGTGGCGTTACTCGCTGCCATCTTCAGCTCGATGGAGCGCAGCAGCTCGGAGCGAATCTCCTCCAGGATTGAGCTCACCTGTCGTGGGTGGCATCGGGGCACAGGAGGCTGGGTAATTCCATTGTTATTATTGCCTGGCTGACAAGAATGCAAATTACAAATACAATGACATGCAAATGATTCCAGAATGTCTTCATCTCTGTTCAGATCAGACTTCCGATTATGCGATTACATTCATCCAAAAGATTAAATTCATACATTCATCTATGTTAAAGAAAAGAAATTGTTTTATTTTGTAGGAAGCACAGGTGGAGAAGCAATAACGATCTAAATTACAAAAATAATAATACTGAGCCGTTTGTTATTTGTGAAGTAAAAAGTTGCACTTGATATTCATATAAATGGTTCATACCATTGCAACACATTCGCGACTGTCCCTAAGGAGCCGGTACCTTTTCTCTGAGCAGATCGACCCTCTGTTTGCCGACATTTCTGACGTACAGAGCGGCTACCGCCACCGGGAATGCCTCCTTTGTGAGGGAGACACAGAGCTGCTGGCCGGCCGGCAGGCTGGTGTCGGCACTGACCAGGGAGTCCACCATCTCCGCCAGGAACACAGTCCTGAGAAAAGAGAAGATCATCTGAGGATTTCCTGATGAATGAACCATGACAGAATTGAGCGCTTTGCATAGAGTGTAGAGACATAGACATAGAGGCATCAGGCATGCAAATATAGCTTGTTTTTCTCAAACTATGACGATAATCGATGTGCACAATACACAACGCATAAATTTGTTTTACACTCCTAAGCAAAGATTTCTTAAGGTTGTTTGGCATATTTAGTACGTGTATCTCTTGACACAATGATGGACGATTATCATCGTAAAGTATAGTTGTATGTTTTGCACCTGTGACCATGCAGTCACGTGACACCTGCACCCCTTCCCACCTGAAGCGCAGCAGGACGGCGTTTTGGACCACGCTAGGATGGTACCGGTCCAGAAGGTCCCCCAGTTGCTGCATGTACCGCGGGTACCGGACGTGTACAGGGTCAGATCCCCGCACCGGCCGCCGCGTCACACCCGACAGGTACCGCTCCCAGTCCAGCTAGAAAGGAAATAATGCAGCCGCAGTCTGACTGATGAAAAGGTTAACTATAATGCCGCCCTTCAATCTTTCAAGCAGAGTGAGCTTACAGCTGTTATCCTGATCAATGATCAATGAGTCGTTAAGCATTCATCAATTTTCGGCTGGTAATACCTACGGGGAAATCCTGAGCACATTTTGTACTGGTTTTTCTCCCGATTCAGTCATGTTTTAGGTATATGCTAGTCAAATGAATACGCCTTATTCGTTACTTTTCATATGAATGCTAGCCCCCTCCCCTTCTCTCTGGCCCTTTTGCTAACGTATGGATACTGCAACTGAACCGGCTCCACTGTCAGAGCCGGTAATATAAGTGATATAAGCTAAGAATATTGTTGATCAACTAACGTAGGGATACTGGAGTTGGAGTAGCTCCACGGTAAGCGCCGGCTCTAGATGAAGCCGCGCCTCAGAGACCACTCTTTCCCGCGCAGTCGGCAGTATCTGAGAACACACGAGTGGAAACGCAATCACTGATTAAACTGATCACCGATCACCTTCAGCGATACTTCGTATCTTCCAAAAGTGATCTGCGACACTTATGCCTGTATGTAGAAATGTCTATGCTATGAATGATGGAAATATTGCAATATATGTAAGCGAGGCTGGTATTCAGTCTGTGTTTATCGTACTTTTTAGATAGGTTACAAAACGGCCTTACAAAGCTTCAGGGAGCAGTTCGTAAAAGGGTGCGAAGTGATTTTTATGGCTAAAGCACCTGGTTGCGACCATTTCATGGGAACTAAAGTTAATAAACATTTGATAATGGCTGTTGAAGTAAGAGCTATGAGGACCCTGCCCAGCCAAAGGAACGGCAGCAGAAAATACGGGGCAGGTGGTTACTCACTTCCCTTACCAAATATTTCCTCTCACCAAGAGCATACAAAAAAAAGAACTTTGCGAAAAATAAAAGGCTGAAAGCATTTGTTGCATGCCTCTTGTTGAATGAATGTATCAAAAACTTGAGTTTATCCGCCGGGAATCCTGCGTAGCCTCGAAATGGGACGTGGCAACAATCGATTTACTGATTAGGACTAGTCAATGTCAAACAGTAAGCAGCAAGTTACCTTGTAAAGGTCTTCCATAAATTGAAGCATGTTATCAATCTCGTCAGTTGCCAAATGTTCCGGAAAATGACCGTTAGCTACGATATTTTCCCAGAAGTAGGACGACATTTCCTCCAACATCTCCGCCAAACTGGCATTCTGAAATAGAGGAAGAGAATGATTAATTACAACATGACAAGAAATAAAATTTGATTTGCGCAAGCACTCTTTTATAAATTATACCTATATTACCTATACGACATATTGAACACCACTTCATTGCGAGAAGACGATAGCAATAGCGAAAAATAACAACGTGCATGATTTTTATCCATGATCCTTCTAAGTGTAAGTTAAAGATAACACTCTTTATCAAACACATCTGTCACCTTCATTGGAAAACACCCATCCAGTCTAGCCCCGCCACTGGCCTTCGACTCCTCATAGAGCTGACTGGCTGTACGGAGAGGCTCATCCGATCCCTCTCCCTCCGGTCCATAGAACGGTCCGCCGTCTCCGGCTTCGTCCCAACTCCAGCCGAGGCCGTCCAGCCGGCCGTAGTCGCCGTAGTCGTGGTCGCCGTGCTCCGTGCCGTGCTCCGTGTCGTGCTCCGTGTCGTGCTCCGTGCCGTGCTCCGTGTCGTGCTCCGTGTCGTGCTCCGTGCCGTGCTCCGTGCCGTGCTCCGTGTCGTGCTCCGGCGGCGTCATCAGAGTAACCGGGGTGACGCGGCGTGAATTCGCCCGCCGTTTGTTCGTTCTGACGCCTGCCGACCTGGCCCTCCGTCTCTGAGGGAGCCGGGGGTTACGTCATGCTATGATTGTTTAGATACGTCTAACTATGTATACGGCCAGTCACACTGAGGGAGTGTTGAGTCAGAGATCCTGTAGGAGAGTCGTGAGTCGCGAGTCAGCGGCCCTCAGCCACTGGGGAGTCGTGAGTCAGTGATCCTGTAGGAGAGTCGTGACTCGTGATTCAGCAGCCCTCACTCACTGGGGAGTCGTGAGCCAGTGATCCTCAACCCATGGAAGGGAGCCATGACTCGGTGATCCTCAGTCCCTGTAGGGAACCCAGGAGCTAGAGACCCTCCGTTACCATAGTAGCGGCTCGGTTTGGTAGTCAGTTGGGACTGATCCGCCGCCCCGCCGCGACTCAGGCCCTTTCGCAATGTATACAGAGCCGCCGACCGGCATAACACACGCACATACGTCGGCACCTCAGGCCGTTTTTAGACGGGAACAGAGATGTGCTCATCGCCAGCCGTGGAGGCAGCCGACGCCAGTGGATGGGTCTGGAGAGGCAGCCGCGGATGGTTACTGGTCTCTTCGATATAACTGAAGTAAAATGCTTGAATGAGTGGGCTGGTTAGAAATTATATCGTCCCTTTTCACGACGCAACATTGGGTACCTGCTTGATGGAATTTGAAGGCAAAGCAGCAAAA